CATGATGGCTTATTTTTATTTTCTTTTAGAGTTATTTTTCTTCTTTTGTATTAATCTTTTTTTTTAATTACATGCTCACTATCAAAGATAACAATAGAGAAATGAAGTAAAAATGAAAGTACCCTGCCCCAATGCCATTTTTCAAAGGCGATCACTGTTCACTGTTTGGTTTCTGCGCATTTTGGTGGTGGTTCGAGGCAGGGGGGCGTTGTACTACATACTGCTCTGAAATTTGTTTTGTCACTTGAACTTAGATCCTGGACATCTTGACCGGGAAAGGACATGTGATTCTAACTCATGCTTTAAAAAGAGTTGCCAAGCATCCCATCAGAGAGGTACTCTAGTGAGGGACATTAAAGTTGTCTCTAATTGTTCCCTATTATACATCATTCAAAAGGGTCAGCTGTTCAAGCATTTGGAAAGGTCCGTTTTCCAGAAGTGATAAGACTGAACCATATTTTGAAGCTGTGTCTTCCTAATCACCACACAGTCAGGGGATTGAGTTCAGCTGGCCAGAATTTAAGACTCAGGAAAATTGGCTTAAGCCCTGAAAATTTTTGACTCAGCAGACACCGATGGAGCCTCAGTTGTAAGCAAGAGGGGTTCACAAATACGCTTCCCTCCCCATTCTTATCCCCAAGGGGCCTGTTCTCTGCCAGGACCACACAGGTCTATGGACACAGCTGTTTAGTACGTGGTCCAGGGGTATGAGACGCAGAGGGGTAGAAGAGCTGGAAAGAGGACATGGTATTGACCTCAATGGGCAGTCAAGTTGAGAGTGCCAGAAAGCCAAGATTAAGAATCCTCTACCACATGAGTATCAGGGGGTCAGAAGGAAGCCTGGGTCACACATCATCTGCTGGGTCCCCAGATGGCCAACCAGGACATGTGACATCCCTTGGCAAAGTGGGCACAGCTGCTACAGATCACGTCTGTTTCCTCCGTAGTTGTTTTTAAATCCTTCACTTCAGCTCATCTCTACATGAGCTAGGCCTCCACCAGCATCTCAGCCAATCCCAGCCCGAGCCTATATACACAGAGACCTCAGCAATAAGGTCACAGTGGGTATGTGCTGCTCTGTCCATCACATCCATCACTGTTTCTCTCCCCAGCAGATGAGAGAATATGCCCTCCTCCATTCTCTGTTCTGAAATCTGGCCAGAATTGCTTTCTACCCTCTCCACAATATATCCCCCTTCCTAGACCAACTGTTGATTTTAAGGATGGACATCTGATGCAGCTGTGATCAAGGGAAAGTAAATCCCAGTACCCAAAATCTGTGGTGAAATTTATCCTTTCTCCGAAGATCTGAAACTGAGTCATGCTGCTGCTCTAAGGGGAAGGCTGAAGCCTGAAGCTTCTGAGGGTCATTCTGTGAACCCAAGGAAGGCAGATTAGAGAGGTAAAGTAACGACTTCCGAGACATTATTAGAGCCTGGATCAAGCATCACCTGAAGGCAGACTTCTCTTTAGACTTCTAAATTACATTAGCTATTATATCTACTTGGTTGACTGAACCAGTTTAAACTGTAGTTTTTTGTCATTTGCATCAAACAGAGTTTGAACACTTTTTTACATATCACCCAACAGGGGCATGTCCTTTCTTTCACCTCTAAAAACAACTGATATGCAATGTCTGCCCTGCATCCAGTTGCTGCCCCAGAAAAGCACTCCTGCTGGCCTCTCACTGAGAGCTATTTGTATGTGTGTCCTAGAAAGTTAACTCAAACTGACTTAGATGAAAAAGAATCATTTTGGCAGGAAGAGCATAAAGAATCAAAACAAGGGCCTCCCAGCACTTCAAGATTCAATTTCTCTCCTTGGCCTCTGGGTTCATTCCTCAAATCTGTTTTCTCTAAGAGCCTGGAACAATGCTAACCTCAGCTCTGGGTTCAAACATATATAATTACTCCCCAAGAGGTAAAGGTTTACTCCTCCAGCTGAAAGTGTTAAAATCCTCGAGAGCTCTGGTTAGCCCAACATGGGTCACATGTACATCTTGGGTCAATCAGTGCAGCCAGCAGAATGAGGTATGACGACTGGCCCAGCTTTCTTTTTTGTTTGTTTAATTGTTTGGGGGTTTTGTTTTTGTTGTTGTTGTTGTTGTTGTTGTTGTTGTTTTGGCTGGGGGGGGGGGAGGCAGGATCTACTGGCTTGACGCTAGACCCAGTTCATTGTACAGAAGAAAGTGTGGTTCCATGAAGAAAGGGAGCAAAGCTGAGAAAGAGGAGGCTGACAAGTCATGATAAAAATGTCCATGAAACCTCAGCATTTTGTGCAAACCCAATGATAATGGGTGCAAAAGAGATTTTGTAAACCCATTTATAAAATGGGTTTTGTTCAAAGCTCGTGGTCGTTTGCCAACAGAGTCACTGATAGAGCTGAGGGGCCAGGCGGTGGGGTGACCGAGCAGGGACTTAAAGGGAGGCATGGCGGTTTGCAACTAGGATTGTGACCTAGGGCGAATCACAACCCGCCAAGCTCAGCCTTAGAAGGAATCAACGATGTCACGTGCCTCACACAATGACTAAGGCTTTAGTTCCTTCCTCCCAGCATGTAGTATCATTGGGGAAGAAAAATTCAAAAGCCTAACTGTGAAAGTCTTTCCTAAAGATGTCCCTAGCCGGGAACTTCAAAATGAAGACTGAGCAGGAGCCCAAATGTTCAAGGGGTTGGGGGAGGGAGGGAACTGAAGCCAAATCAGCCTTGACCTGAAAAAGTTCCAAGATATAATCCATAAGAAGGAAATGCCAAAGGAAGGAAGTGAAGGAAATGTGTGTTGGGGTGGGCACTTTTTCCCGGCTCAAGCCATTGTAATGCACCCAGTGGGCATCCACTATGATTTGGCGCCCAGTGGTGTGGATTGCCACTTTGCCTCTTCAGTTACTTTCATCATGCTAAGAGGCGTATACTCTTCTTCTTTTTTCTTTTTTTAAGATTTTTATTTATTTATTTGACAGAGAGAGATGACAAGTAGGCAGAGAGGCAGGCAGAGAGAGGAAAGGAAGCAAGGTCCCTGCTGAGCAGAGAGCCCAATTCGGGGCTTGATCCCAGGACCCCGGGATCATGACCTGAGCCAAAGGCAGAGGCTTTAACCCACTGAGCCATCCAGGCGCCCCATAGGCATATACTCTTCTTGAATGAAACCAAAACCATCCAACTTTCAGTGTTATTAAATAGCAAGACAGAGATGGGCTGGTTGACTTTGCAAGGCCCAACCAACAATCTAGCTGTGGCTTCCCGACGGCACTCTCTCTCCAGTCCCAATACCCTTTCCGACCTGAGCATCCCTCCACTGCCTCTTTCTACCGGTGAGCCCAGCAGGGCTGGAAAATACCCTCCTGGACTTGGCTGCCAAGGAGGGTCTCTGGGGCCAGGTGAGCCATAAGGGAAAAACCCGCCCGCAGATGCAGCCCTGGGAAGGGTCCACCGTGCTTCTCAGCCCCTCTGACTCCAGCCCCCTCATTCACCCAGCCCCATATGGCAGCCCGCTGCCTGGCAAGTGAGAGAGAAGACCACGATGTGCAGAACATCAACACAAGATCAGCCCAACTGGAAGATGGCAGCTAGCAGCTCACAAGCTGGTCCTGGTCCATCAGCCCCAAGTTAGAGCTGCTGGTGCTAGGCCAAGATTACAAAGGACAGGCCTCTTTTGGCCCAGAGAGGTCTCCAGGGCACGGCCCAGACCACAGAGGGTTTATCACACCTGGCCCAGAGGAAGATCCCCCTTCACAGGCCAAGCACTTCTGGTCGGGGAGGAGCGGTCCTCATGTCAGAGCTGCAAGCACTCAGGAAGCATGGCAAGCACCTTGGCTTCTTCTTTTGCTCCCAGGAGCTGTGGGGGCCCAAGAGCAGTGGCACAAAATCAACAGGAGTGGGTTGTCAGGGCCGTGCCCCTGCTCTTGAACTCTCTCTCCGCCCCCTCCCTTTAATGAAAGGCAACTCTTCTGATTAATTTCTGGTTTCCTGTCATTGTTCCTGACTTGTCATCCATCTCAAGGTGTGCCAGGATGCTTTACATTTCCTTGGAATAGCTTGCCTAGGCCTGCTGACTCGGCAATCCTATTAACAGGATTTTTTTTTTCCTTCGTTGTGTTTGTGAAATGAAATAAAATAAAAGGCCCTGTCTCCAGAGAATTCTTCCTGCCCCATTTCTCTGCACGCCGTCAAGTTCTGGGGAGATCATGAGGTCTCTGGGGGGAGGGGAGGCGACCGTGCTTCTCTACTTTGGTGTCCAGGAGGCCTGGGAGGAAGCATTGCTGGTGCAGCCAGATGCAGGCGGATCCAAGTCCTGCCTGCCTTTGCCGTGCCCAGAATCGTGGGGAGGGCCGTGGAAGCGATCCTTGAGGCCACACCACATCCAGAAGTCATGCCACTGAAATGGCTGAGAGGCTGGCAGGGGCTCCAAGGTAGGAAGGTGGGTTCCTAGTTCTCAAACAAAGATTTCAAGCTCCGTCTGAGGCTCCCTCTTCTCATTTGCCACATGGACAGAACAATTCCTGCCTCATAAGGCGGCCGGGGGATTAAATGAAATCTCAAACGTATAATGCTTTGGCACAAAGCCCAGTGCAGGGATGGCATCAAGCAACTATTCTGGTCGTTCCTTTTTTGGCATGATATTCCAGAGTGCTGTACCTTAGAACATGGCTCCTGGTGGCTCCGGGAGAGCCAGGGGCCTTTTCTGGGGGGGAGGGGGCAGGTGGATATTAAAGGTTTGGGAAAGGCTCCAAGAGCCTGAAGCACGCATAGGGCTAATGAGAGGAGCGGACAGTAAGCTTCTGAACCTGCTCCCAGGACGTGATCTATGGCAGAGAAGCAAGAGGGAGAGGTTTTCCAGGACCAGTAGGTGGGGGGAATTTGAGAACACTTCTCTCGGTCACAGAACTCAGCCTTGCACTTGCCACACTCCACGTGAATAGTCTTGTGCTAGAGTTTACAGTAAGTTCGTTCTTAGCTGGTATTCTTTGTGGCTGGCTTCTCCACCGTGGTGAGCACAGGCTGTGTGCAAAACAAAGGGCTCCTTGATTCCTGTCTGCGAGAGAGAGAGAGAGAGAGAGGAGAGTGAGTTCTCTGGTGAAATGTTTGGAACCGCTTAAAGCAATTTTCACAGAAAAGAAAATGCTCCTACAAACTCCCTCTTGGGTGGAAATCTCAGTCCAATCCTGCAATAGAATATTACATAGTCAGTAAAAAGGCTTTGCATTTGAAAAGGTCTGTAAAAAGAGCAGAGTACACAGTTGCACATACTGTGTGAGCTAAGCTACGTTAAAATCCATTTTTAAATTTGGAAAATGAAAATACACCTTACCTTTAGGCAATGGCTGATGAAAGCTTTTCTCGTCTTCTTCCTACTTTTCTGTGTTTTTCTAATTTTTCAAACAGCATGTATCTTTATAATAATGATGACGACCAGGGGAAGTAGGAGGAGGAGGAGATACAGAACTTTTAAAGACCTCTCAAGCCTCCATGTATTGTGAGGTCCCATTTAATATCATACTTTCACTCCCCCGGGACACCAGGAAGTCCCTGGGGAGAGGGGAGAGAGAAAACAGCACCAGGTGACAGGTGTATGAGCATCAGACATGAATCTACAACTGCAGGACCCGAGGCCCCTTCCCAGTTCTGCAGGGCGCCGACGATGTAGGTAATTACACATCCTCGTGGTGACTGCCTTAGCACGTCAAGTGCCAGAAATAGAGAAGATCCATGAGGCCAGGGGCTTTCCAAAGGCAATCTCCGTACAGAAGTTAGTATGCAAAACAAGTTACAAAGGAGCCAGGCAACTTCTTGTGAGAGAGGGATGAGGCGGCTTCACCCATCCCTCTCTATCCCCCACATCCCCACCCTCAGTCCTTGTTTTGATCTCTGTGCCTAGAAAAGAAACACAGCTAGAAAACCTCATGTTCAACTGGCCTGTAATGTGGAGAACAGAGGAGATGATGGTGGGGGAGGTGGAGGTTCTATTTCTAAATAATTAGTAAATACATTTTTTTAAAGATTTTTGTTTATTTATTTGACAGACAGAGATCACAAGTAGGCAGAGGCAGAGAGAGAGGAGGAAGCAGGCGCCCCGCTGAGCAGAGAGCCTGATGTGGGGCTCCATCCCAGGACCCTGAGATCATGACCTGAGCCGAAGGCAGAGGCTTAACCCACTGAGCCACCTGGCGCCCCAGTAAATACATTTTGCTGAAAATTCATATCCCTTTGAATAGCTCCATCCAGCTCTGTTTTAGAAACAAACAATAAGGCTGTTTTTACCAGTATGTCCTCTGGGAAGGGTATAGAGTTCGATCTAGGAAAACATTTAAGTCTTTGATGTACCTAGTTGCTATGCAGACCCTGCAGTTTATGAGACCGAATAGCAGCGTGATTACTAGCAGCTGATTTGGGCTTACGGTAAGTTGTAAGTTGTCTGTTCCTGGGGAGTTCTGTGCTTGGTTTTGGGGCCGGTGCGCAGAAATACTCTGATTTGTTTCTGCCTAGTTGTCTGCTGGAAGAACAGATTGTCGCGAGTTCTAGTTGTTGTTTTTTGACCCACGTGAGTCTGTGCGTTACGAGTACTTATTTGCAAATATGATCTAAAATATTAAAGGCGTGGATCTTTTCTGTGTTCTGATCATTTAACCTGACGTAGCACCTTGGTGACGTCTAGGTCCTGGTGAATGGGGAGCTCTCAGCGGCTTTCAAGCACATCTGCCTCTGAGTCTGTGTAGCCACTGGAGGCCTGAGTGGTCCCTTTCCTCTGTCTCCAAAGAGGGGAAGCCAGAAGCTGCAGGCAGCATTTGTAAAACACGCTGGTGTGAGTGAGTGTGTATGCGGGTAGGTGTGCTCAAAGGGTCGCTGTGAATGCATTTCTGGACAGCCATGTGCTGGGGGTGGAGCCAAAGAAAGGGTCCGCAGAGGTGCCAAACTTTCCTGTTCCCCAGAGGCAGCAAGCACCTCCACTGGGACCGACAGCCCAGACGGTAAGGACGGGCTCTGGAGGAAGACTGCCCCCCCCACCCCCACCCAGCTACTTTCTGGGTGACCTTGGGCTAGACCTCCCGCCTTCTTGAGGCTGAACAGTCACCTGGAAAGTGGTGATAATCACAGCAGCTTGTTAGGAAGACTTTTTACATAATCTCATTGGCTTTGTGATTATGTAAGAAAATGTTTTCAGAATTACTTACAAATTATGTAGAGATGAAATAACATGCGATCCGGGGTTTGCTTTAAAATAATTCAGCAAAAACAAAGTGGAGGGTGAGTCCATGTGCACTGGTTTCAAGAACAGGCGAAACTCGTCTAGGATGATAAAAATAAGATTGAGAATTGAAATGAAAATGAAATGAATAAAGAGAAATGAAAAATGACAAGTGGAAAAGAGCACCAGAGAACTTTCTGGAGTACTGAAAATATGCTGTAACTTGATTTGAGTGATGATTACATGGGCGTAATATTTGGCAAAACACATCAACCAACAAATGGTTCAGAAAAATGTGTGTGTGTGTATGTGTGTGTGTGTTGTATAATAAAGCAAATGTGGTAATTTGTTGCCATTTGGGGATCTCTTTGAAGAGAATGTGGATATTCTTCCTATTTTTCTTTTGTAACTTTCTGTATGAAATTATTTTACAACACATTTAGAAACTCATCAAACTTCACACGTAAGTTCTATGCATTTACTGTATATACATTATACACCAAATAAGAATTAAAAATCATATGTAAAAAAATCTTGATAAATGTCAAATCTGAGTGAGGTGTATGGAGGTTGGTTATATTATTCTTTGTACTTTTTGTGTATATTTGGCTATTTTTATAAAGCAAAAAGAAAAAAATTAAACATTAAAAATGACCAAACCAGCCATTAAGTTCCTGGCCCTGGGTGCAGCACTGGTGGCGTCCCACTCTGAGAATGGCCCATGAGAGCCACCCTGCACCGTCCCTCTTGGGTGATCTGGAAACATACAGACGTCATACGCTGACGCTGGCATTGTCTGTGATCGTGCTTGACGAGATACGCACTCCAAACTGGTTTTCTCCATCCTTCAGCTAAATCAAGAGCCAGACAGTCCTGAAGATTCTTACCTTCTCCCAGCTCCCGCTCACAGTGAACGCCTTTGCCCGGCTGTCTTCCTCCCTCAGAGGCATGTAAATACCTTGTTAGACAAGCAGGAACCACTCTGGTTCTCATTTCATTTTTGCAAGGTAAACACTTGCCGTGGCCGAGACAGAGGGAAAAAGTGAGGGCCGCTGACCTTTGTGAACCAGACGCATCTCTTAAGAAAGCCTCCGTTTTTATGAGGGTGGTAGTTGCCTGCTCCCAAGAGCTCCACGGGAGGACAGACCCAGAAGACGGGGGTACCGCTCCCAGCTGTATCACTGGTGATCTATGTGACCTTGGGTAAGTCACCTCCTCCTTCACTGGCTTCTTTCCTCCCTCCGCAAATGAGGGTTTGAAGCTAAGGAGATCCTGGATACGTGCCAGCTTTGCGATTCTTTAAAACAAACTTCGAGCCTCTGGGTCAGGGAATAAGCCTTCTGTGCTTCCAGGGCCCGGGTAGGACACAAGTAAGGACGCAGATAGGACAGAGACTACAGGAAAGATACTGGATGTGGCCAAATCTCCCCAAGTTTTCAGAAACGCTGAGAATCTAGAGTTTTCTGTCCTATCTCCTGATTTTTAAATGATAGTAATGAATTCAAAATTTTTTATATAAATTCCATGTGAGCCTAACAAAAATATTTTAGGTTTTTCATTTTTTTTAAAAGATTTTATTTATTTATTTAGTTGACAGAGAGACAGCAAGAGAGGGAAAACAACAGGGGGAGTGGGAGAGGGAGAAGCAGGCTTCCCACAGAGCAGAAAGCCCAATGAGGGGCTCGATCCCAGGACCCTGGGATCATGACCTGAGCCGAAGGCAGACACCCAATGACTGAGCCACCCAGGTGTCCCTAACAAAAATATTTGTGGACAGAATTAAGTCCCAGGGCTGGCAGAATGGGCCTTTGGTGTGGTGTCATAGCCTCCTGGTGGGGGCAGGGGAATGGGGCTGGATCTCTGTCTCCAATCTTTTCAACATTATGGTCATGGCTGCCTAAGTCTCAGAGCTCATCTCCTCAAGACTGAAGGTAAATGTTAATGACACATATTTCCTGCACTTTTTACCAGTACTTTTTTACGGTAAAATACTCATTTTACATCTACCAGTGGTCATACACATATACATCCACACACTAAACTGAAAGAAAACATTCACAAAATAAAATTTGCCCCTCCTACAAGCAATGCCCTCAGATATTTTCTATTCCATTTTTGAAAATTTTGATGACAACCCGTTAAACTGACTTCATGGGTCTTGTTGGGAAAACATTAAGGTCCACGTTTACTAAATCTTATTTAATTCTCCTCCTTACCTTATGAGATAGGAATTATTATTATGCCCATTTTACAGAACAGAAAAATGAATTTCAAATTTCACATACCAGATCTGATCTTCTTTCTTCTATTCTTTCAATCCAGAAAGGCAAGAATGAGATGAATTAGAGGACTCCAAAGGGCAAGGTCAGAAAGGAAAAGTTCAGAGGCAAAGCAATCCAGGAGCACCTTGGGGAGATAGAAAAGTAAAGCAGGAGTAAGGCTCTACGTGTTGGGGCATGCAGTTTAAAGGCTCTTTTCTGTCTACCCTATGGAATCCACAGAAAACTCTGTGTGGTTCCTTACGCCACGGATAAGTGACTTCTTCAAGGAGGGGCCAAGATCGTCACCTGGAGGCTCCTGCAGACTCAAAGGGGATGACAAGGTCGCTAATGCCTAGGTCACTTTTATGAACTTGAACTTCCAGCTCCAGACTTGTAGGGATGGGTGATTGGTGGTTGCAGGGGGAGAGAGAATGGGTAGCATTCAAACTTGGACCACGTGACCATCAAGGCTGGTCTGAGAAACCTCACTGCTCAACTCTACTACCTCCCAGTTCGTTACGAATAAATTGACAGAAGTTCCACGTTTTCTCCGGAGGCATGGTCAGAGAGGACAAGAGACACATGGGATGTCAACGGGGAAGATTTGGGGTTTTTTCTTAATTTATTTACTAGAGATAGAGCATGCGTGTGAGTGAGGGGGAGCAGCAGAGAGAGAGGGAGAAGCAGACTCCCCACCGAGCATGGAGCCCAACGCAGGCCTCCCTCTCCGGACCCCGAGATCGTGACCTGAGCTGCACTCAGACAGTGAACTGAGTCACCCAGGAGCCCCAGAGATTTTGTTTCTTAAGACTGATGAGCTTGGCTCCCTGCTGGACCAGTCAGCTGAGCCTAATACTACTTTCTCTGTTCAAAACAGCAATCTGGGTGGGAGCAGTCGACCCAGCAACACCCTGGCCGACCTGGCCCAGCCCAGCACACTCTGCACGGCCTGGCCAGCCTTCACCGGCAGCACATCTGGGCTACTGAGTCTAGGACGGCTGAGTCTATCCCCAGCAGCTGTTTGTCTCTTTCCTTCATGTCTGGCACCTCCAGATGCCTCGAGAGAACCCCTGGAGGTGAGTGTCTTGTAGATAAAGTCCAGACGCAATGATTCCTGACATTGTGTTGGGTGGCTTTCCGCCTTCTCCAAGGTGTGGGGTACAAGAACCATTGCTGGGTCGTATTTAAAGCCGGAGAATCTCAGATTAGCATCTCCAAAGTCAATTAGGAAGGCAATTTCTTCCCTTGGTTTGTATTTGTATATTATTAATGAACTACGAGGCCTCCTCGTGCAGTAAATTAGCCTACGTAGCTGGGAAGTGGAGTACAAATATTTTTCCCCCTTAATGGCCCCGAACATTTATCTCACAAGGAGAAAACTATATACAAGCACAGGGAGGGCTCCCCGTTCCGGCGGCTGAGGAAGCACACAGAAGCAGCTCTGATAAATATTGATGTTTGTTTATCCAAATTTCACAGACCATCCTGGCAAGCTGCCACCCTCTGCCACCCTTGTCTGCCATAACTGATAGCACTTATTATGCAAGGAGGAGATACAGGAACCCAACTGCCCTTGCCGAATGATGTACAACCTTCGTTTCCGAACACATGCGCAAACACACACACACATGCATGCAGGCACGCACACACACATGTAGAGAAACCAGCTGTCCTGACCTACAGGTGTTAGGAATGGGACCCGAAAACCTATGTCCTATCTCTCATCGAAGAGCAGACGTGTACACTTCTGTGTACAGAGAGAACGGTCACAGGAGATCTGGGTCTCCCTGCAGTAAATCATTCAAGGGTGTGTGAATGCTACCTCCAAGGGCTGCTTTGTCACAAAATCAGTGCCAGTAAGAAAGGAGCTGTGCTACCTGGGAGTCCCAGAGCATTAGCATGGAGATCTTTATAATCACTGAGCTGCTAAGTCACCATTGAGTTCCTGAGTACCTACCAGGTCCAAGGCAGTGCGAACAATATCCCTCATCGAGTCCCACTCATCTATTTCATTTTTTTAAGGTATTTATTTATTTTCCTCCTGTGCACGAATGGTGGGGGATGGGAGGGGGAGAGCAGAGGGAGAGGAGCAGAGGCGGAGGGAGAGGGAAAGGGAGAGGAAAGGGAGAGAATCTGGGGCGCTTGGGTGGCTCAGTTGTTCACGAGTCTGCCTTCGGCTCAGGTCATGATCCCAGGGTCCTGAGATCGAGTCCCACATGGGGTTCCTTCCTCGGAGAGGAGCCTGCTTCTCCCTCTGCCTGCCACTCCCTCTGCTTGTGCTCTGTCTCCCTCTGTCTCAAATAAAAAATAAAATCTTAAAAAAAAAAAGAAGAAGAAGAAAAGAAGAAAGAAAGGGAGAGAATCCCAAGCAGACTGACTCTGTGCTGAACAGGATCCCAAACACTGAGATCACGACCTGAGCCAAAACCAAGAGCTGGATCCTTAACCGACTGAGCCAACTGGGCACTCCCCTCCCCCAATCTATTTCTAAGCAACATGGTTCAGCTTTAGAATGTTTGAGGACTAAAGTGTAGTTGAAAATTAATAAGGGCCATGTATTCATTCCTTTAATAAATATTGATCGAATGCTTAGCATGTGAATGCCGGGTGCTGGGCACGCAGCAAACACTGGGAGAGACCCTGTCCCTCGAGAAACACAGCATCCAGGGGGCAGACAGACAGGGAGCAAGGGGGAGCAAGGCACTCTAAAGCCGCCGTGAGAGAGAGAAGCACCCAGGCTCCCGACTTGCAGGAAGGAGTGGCCCGTGGCGAGTGGTCAAGAAAGTATCCTGGGAAGCCATGGGCTCCCTACTCACGTCCTCTGCTTTTCCCAACATGATTCCTGCTCCGGGGGTGAGAAACTCACTCCACCAGGAGGCCCATTCTGGAGGACTGGCGGATGCCCAATGGGAGAATCCCAGGTAGGCGTCTCCCCACGCCCCCGATTCCCTCTTCTCCCTTCCTGCTTTCAGCATTTTCTTTCTTACAGAATCTCCTGTCTCTTGTCTGTCTGGGCTCCTTTACCCTGCGAGCTCCTTGATACACTCTAGATGATGTGGACACCGAGACCCCCGGGGGCCCTCAAGGGGGCCAGGGAGGCGGGAGTCTCTGACCACGCTCTGGGGAGACCTGCACCGGGTCGGACGTGGTGGGAAACCTCGTGCAGCCTCTGGCCCCCGCAAACGGCAAAGAACTAGAGCATCACTGCCTGATGTCGGCATCCACACGACTCCGTGGGTCCGCATGTGTAGGCAGATCTCTCATTTACAGTTTATGGGTTTCTGGCTGGATGGCGTAATGAGTATCTGCACGCAGGGTTCTCTTCGCCTGGAAGATCGTCCCCTCCCCACCCCCATCAGCTTCCCCTGGTTAACCACCCACTCACCCTTCAGATCTCTGGAAATGTGCCTCCCCTGGAGAAGCCTTCCCTGACCCCTCGGGCTAACTACCTGAGTTATTCACTGTCACGGGCCAGGTCCTTCTCCTCCATGACCTTGGGATAGTCTGCAATGGTGCACTCACCTGCATCATTTCCTTTGATCCTTGTCTGCCTCTCCCGTGGCCATAGTCTCCATATGAAAATCATGTCCAGGTCATTGCTCTCTGTCATCCAACTCTGGCTCGATGTCCAGCCCCTAGGATGCACTCAACTAATTCCCTCTGGGTCATGAATGAAGTTCAAGGAATAGGAGTCTCCCCAGACCCCATTTCTCCAGACTCCACACTCCTGTCTGGCTTGGACTTCTGTTTGGTCTGAAGCTTTGCTGTGGGGATCAAAAGCATTGTGAACAAAGTCCTTCAACCTCCAAATCTCTCCTGTGCCACTTGGCCCAAAGGAGCCTTTCCAAGACAACATGAGAAAAATAATAAACAAGAATTTTAAAAAATTGAGATTTGAGTCCAAAGCAAGCCAAATATTTTACTAATAGTAGCACACATTTGTTGTTTCAGGAGAAGACTACAATAGATAAAAATCAATAATGCTTTTGTTCCAGAAGATTAACCTCATATTTCAAGCAGGAAGAGAATCTAATGGACAGCTTTTCTCCCGCTCTCCCCACCCCCACCCCAATAATATGATGTGGTTACGCCAGAGAGAGGGGTTTGAGGAAACAGAAGGTTAGAAGGCTCAGAACATTGTCTAAATGCAGAAAGGAAGATCTGGAAAGAAGGTCAGAATCTCTCTGACATATCAAGTTGGTGGATAGATGGAAGTTGTCTGCCCTTCACACCGTCTTTGGCATTCAAATAAAAACCTCCCAGGGTATCAGCCATCAGCCCCCTTACCCTCAAATGAGGGCCCCTGAAACATGGGATCTCACCCCTGGGCAAGAGTTGATTTGAACCCGGGCTGAGAGATTCTGTCCCCGGAATTTAGAATCAAGCCACAGAGACACCTCTTGGTCCATTAGATGCTTCAAATGTGCTCTGAGGACAGGTCAGGTGATGGTTTTGGCCACACGCACAGAGAACCAGAGAGAGCCAGCCTGCAGGCTGAGAGAGAAGACGACAGGAGTGGGGAGGTCAAGTACCACAAACAAGAGAGTGACTCTGCTCACACCTTTCTGCATCCTGGTCCTCCATCCTCATGAGGCCAGCCTGAGCTTCCTGTCCTCGGAACCCACGATAGCCCCCGTGTCCTCCTGACCAGGTGCCCTCTCTCCACCTTTCCTGTTGTCAAAGTTAGCCCGAGTGTATTTCTGTCCTCTATGTGTCCATTTCCTGTGGTTGCCATCACACATTACCACAAGCCTGGGAGCCACAAGTCTAGAAAGGTGTCAGCAGAGCCACACTCCCTCTAAGCCTCTAAGGGAGAATCTTTGCTTCCTTCAGCTTCTGGTGGCTCCTGACATTCTGTGCCTTGTGGCTGCATCCCTTCAACCTCTGCTTCTGCCTTTCCATGGCCTTCTTCCCTTCTCCCTGCATCTTCTCCCCTAGGGACAATTGTCATTGGATTTGGGGCACACTTGTTTAATCCAGGATGACCTCATCCCAAGATCCTTAATTTAATTGCATCTGCAAAGACCCTTTTTCTAAATGTGGTCACGTTTTTGGCACTGGGGATTACGACTTGGACATATCTTTGTGGGGGGGGGGGTCACCACTCACCTCACCCTACCTTGTAGCGTGCTGAACTCTAGGCCA